TGTAGCTTAATCTCCAGTTTCATTAATTCCTTAACTACTGTGCCGAGAGTGCCAAAAATAGGAATTAATCAATACCAAGTGTAGCTACGCCAGTTTTCATGACATCTCTCCAACAGAAACTACTAACTTGCCTAGCTACCTTTTGCCACACATGCTATAGAATTTAATAAACATATTAAAACCCCAAATATTCTCATTTCTTGCAAGCCACTGGGCATAATCGGATCATTCTGAATTCTGGTCTTTACTAGCATCTGCTGGATATAAAGCACTAACATACTAGCAAACAGCTTAGCTCTGTTATGAGATAGCTAGGCCTTGGTTTCTGCCTGTATTTCATTCTTCTTATCATTTGTTATAGATCCCTTTTTCTACATTCTAGCAAGTAAAAAAAAAATACCCTAGAGCTGTATCACCTTCTGCTATGTGGTCAATAGGATCACAAGTAAAGCAGTATAAGCTCCATAAAGCGTTAGGATGGGTACTGTAGGAACACTTTTGAAAAAGTGCAAAAATATGTTCTTGTGCAGGAAATCATGCTGGTGCTCTTTTTCCTGAATCATTATTGTACCAAGTAGCCTACAGAGCCAAAATCAACACAACATGATTTGACATATCACCTTTCAGGGGAGCTTCCCACAGCTTAATCATCAATAGTCACTATTCAGAAAGCATCTCAGATTAAAATGGGAAAAGCAAGGAAACTAAAGCACATGCTTTCTCTTGTCTGTGAGGAGACATGTACTAGCCAGGGTGTTGTAGACAATTTCCACAACTGGCAACTCTTATGTCTTTGAAGACAAAATATTCTTCACTTTGGCTCCAAACTGTTGTGAGGTGGTGATGTGTGAGAATAACCATCGCCCTGTGCCATCTAGAGCCAGCTGCCTTTCAGAGCTCCATTAACTGGTTCCTGCATACAGTGCGTCATTTTGTCAAACTGGAAAAGAACTTTGGGATTTCTAAACCTGAAAATAAGAAAATTACTTGTCAAAGACTCTGTGTTTAAAGAAGAATGTCTCTTGACCAAAGAGACAGAAGGGAATGGGACAAACGGAAATGCTTGCTGAAATCCTGCTTGGCCTCACTTCATCTAATATTGAGTAAACTTGCTAGAAAAGATTTTAGGTTCAACCTGGCTTTTAATTAGTATGCTGTTTACATCATCTATTATGAGGCTTTACTTTGGATTTGACCCTGTTCCCACTGCAGTCAACAGCAAAAACACCACTGACATCAGTGGGAGCAGGATCAATGCTTTACTTTGTACATTTCATATTTAATGTCAAAAAAAGAAACTGGTATTTATGTTTTGTAGTTTTTAGTTATCAGGTTAATATGCTAAAGGCAGCTTGACAGGGAATACTATTAATGAGCAAAATAAGGTTGCTGCTTCTGGACTGAGGTCACTTACAAAGAATGTACAAATGAAAATAAGGTTGACTTTTATTTACTTAACTATCTTCCTACATTGAATTCCTTTGGCAACGTGTCTTTAAACATTTAAAGCCCTGTTTACAAGGAGGCTCTGAAAGTAGCTTCAAACCATTATATCCCTAATTGAATTCCCCAGGAGTCCTGTAAACTCGGAGGAAAAAAGAAAGAAATCATAACATTTGCTAAATCATCTCAAAACATATTTCACTGCAAGGTTATGTGACCTGTTACATGTCTGAATGATGACTGGGATTGAACTACTGAAACCTTTTATTATTCAGATTGAAATCAAACAAAAAGTTGCACATTTGAAGCCTGCTAATTAAACTATACTTCCTCTGACTTTTATCACTAATTAAGAGTAAGAATTTTGGCACACAAGACAAGTACACTGAAGATAACAGAATTAATTAAAAATACGTAGCTTTTGTGTAACGACACAGGGCAGACCAGATGCAAATTACTAGGCAAGTGGGCCAATATATTTGGAGCAAAAGATTTTGTGGGAAATAAAGGTAAAAAAAATCATGATGTTCAATAACAAATATTCCATCCACCTCCTTCAAACCAGAAGTTGTTTTTTTTCAAGTGGAGTTGCAAAACTCCACATTATTTCCAACTAGCTACGCCTGTTGTGTAACATCATCTATATGAGACAGATCACACAAGAAGCTACAGTTAATATCTTGAAATGTTAAACAGCTTCACATCCCTGTCAGCTTACCTGGCTTGTAAGTTATTCCTGGGGGGAAGAGGAATCCCTGCTGGGCTGCAGCAGCCGCTGCCAGTGTCCGCTGGTCGTGTGGAAAAATTGGGATCATGAGCGGAGGCATGTGACCCTGAACCTGCTAAACAGAAGAAAGCCTCTGATCAGAAATAGCACAAATTTGTCTTGACAGGTATTTCTCCAGTACTGATAGTGTTCTTGTGTTCACACAGTCCCACAGAACCTTCGCCTTAATGTAATCCCTGCCAATTTCACATTATCACATCAAAGCCCTCACTAACATTGTTTTCCCTCAGTGTCAAAGGTGTAACAGTCTCAGTGAACTGCACATTTTCCTACTTCTTCCTAGTTCTCTTTTTTTTTTTTTTTAATTAATATTGCCTGTCCTGGCACAAGTTAAAAAGGTACAAAAGCTTTCTAATATGAGCATAGGTTCTTTAAAAAAAAAGTGGTACGTATTTCTATTAATTTTTCACAACTTTTCTCCTCTTTGGTCACAGACAGGAGAGTGACAAGCATTTTAGAAGTAACCTAACACTGCAGTAGCTACTTTGATGTTCAAATTTTAGTATCCTTAGGGTAATTTTATTTCTGAGATCTTACAACATTGTATTGTTCACATATATACCAACAACTCAGGTATGTTATTTCAAAATCTCACCACAGTATTAAATAGTCTTCTAGTCAACACCCCAGCTCTTAAGATTTAAGGCTCCAACATCTTGGCTCCCAATTAAACTAACATCCTTTGCCATACACACCTCGCTATAACATATAAATTGCTTGTCTGTCTAAGCAGTTTTATAGCTTTATGCACTATCATGTAGCTTGGTAATTATGGAGCTGTATTCAGAGACCATTTCAGAATAAAACCTACTATATCAAATTTAATTTGACCTTAATAAATGTATCAAAAAGTACAAACATGCAAAAGCAAAAAAATTCTTTCCCGTATACCAGCATTTGTATTCAACATATAGAAACCAGGAGATAGGATAGAATCATGTCTCCTACATCCACGTTGATTTCCTAGTTCCTTAATTTATGCTACGTGTGTTTCAGAAACTGTGGCTAGGATCACAAAGAGTGTTTATCCTTCATTCCTTAACCCTGGAAGAACCCAAGGGTTTGACTATGATTTTTCTGATTAGTAGCTAAGCAAACATATAATAGTTTATATATCAAAGCCAGTAAACGTAGGAAGAAATTGGGTTTTTAGGCAGAAAAAAAAAATTCCCTCATCCTACCATAAATCGGTGGCATTAAATACTATTAAAAAGCTAAAGTACACCTCAAGCAATTTTTTTTCCCATTTAATTCCTAAAAAACTTTTTTGGTCAAATCCCATATGTTGACCTATGACATTGTTTAAATAGTGCCAAATTTTCCTGTCATATCCCCATTACTTTCACAACCATTGATGCAGTGCAGAAATACTACTGTGTGTCTATGAGGGTTAATTTACCAACATCTCTTCTCTTGGGAAAGTCCTAAGATGTAGGTTAATAAAGGTCAAGCAAAAAATAAACACTTTACAGTATTTTTTTAAATCCATTTCTCAGGAAAATCAACTTATAATAAAAAGGTCTTTGTGCAATTACTGCTATGGCACTGGGGCGTGAAAGAAACTAGCTTTGAGCAGCTATTTCTCTCATTTTAGCTGAGGTAAGCCTGGCTGCGCGTTTTAGGATATGAGTTAAACTTGGTTAGATTGGAGTTGATCCCCATGTGCCCAGCATAGGCATTTACCTCAGATAAAATGGTGCAAGTTTTGCTGTGTGGCGTTCCTTTACTCTGGCTCTACAGGAGGACAGCAAATGAAAACCACAGGCTTTGTCTGATAGAAACAGCTATAGGACATATTAGAAGGAATTCAACACAATACAATTTACAATCATCTTCAGTAGTTCTCAGCTATAGTCTAATCAAATGGACCAAAGGTCTTGAGAAATATCCCTTTCAATCACCACACAGAGAAAGTATTTCCACGGGGTGGCAAAGGTGCAAGACACCGATGCAATTTTGCAAGACACAAAAGAGATCAAAGTGAGTGCTATGGTTAGAGTGATGGTGCATACATACCCACAGCAATACTTTGCACCATAGTTTCATAAAAATCATTTGTAATGTATAATAACCAAATCCTACAATGGTTATTTCCCAATGCGATACTGTAGAATTGGATCTACGTCACCATATCCAAAAAGATTTTTTTTAAACTCTCAAATAAAAGCAATTCTGTAAGTGTGGAGAATTACCATGGCACGTTCTGCCTATCTGCTTTTCTTCCTTGAAATACTACTCTAAATGCTGGATCAGGTCCTCATCCTGTATAACTCAATGTAACTTTGGCTAAAGGTGGCTTATATTTAAAGTAATAAATAAAGCCCATACCGACTGGCAACCATTCCCTGCCATGGGTCTTCCCTCTGGCACATATTAAATACTATTCTTAGGTAAATATTGGTTTCACACAGAATTGTTGTATATATAGGTATCAATTTTCAGTACAGGTCAACTGAAAAGCACAAATAAGCACTGAAAGGAAGAGAATGTAAAAGTATCACTGCACTATTAAAGATGTAAAATGTATGCCAAAAAATCAGTAGACATTTTAATTTTAGACTTTTTTTCTGAGTGCATTTTATTACTGTTATTGTTATTATTATTATTTTACTGAGGGATGAGAAATTGGGAGGAGGGGTCGATTGGTGTTCTTCATAATACCGGCTACACGACCAGAAATTTTAATTGCTGAGATGTTCCTCAGGTCTTTCTGAAAACCAAGACTGTAGCAGATGCCTGAGAAACACTCCGAGTCTGTCTCTTCCCATTCGTAAAAATAGCGTATTGTTGGATCGGCGCTTTCCCCCTTTGTCTCCTCTGTGCTAAGTTGTTGATGATGCCATTTTTTGCCATCTGCCCCAGAGCTTCATTAAAGATACATGAATGGACTGACTGAGCTGCTATCTTGTGAGGAACAGGTGCTATTGTTTGTCCCCGAAGACTTGCACTAAAGATCTCACTCAGAATACTTGAGAAAGAGCATCTGCAGCAGTCAGTCAGAGAGTAACTTGGCAGAGCCCGTACTATGGGCTAATATGCAAACAGTGACACTCAGGGGGACTCATTTTCTCTTTCATGAAGATTTTTATTTATTTATTTATTTATTTATTTTGTGACGGGTGGTAAATGTTTGGTTTTGAACAATTCTGCCAGTCTGTATCTTTAACTGAAACGTACAAACTCTGGAGGAAAATGGAGTATATTCTTTCCAAAATTCAGTTCTGCAACCTCGAGTAAAATAATCTCTTATATAAAGCTACCTCGTAAAAATAATCTCTGTTTCTATACAACAAGCTCAGGTTTAGCTGTGTTAAACATGAGAAGCCACCAAGATTAGGGAACTCTTAAAACGTAGTGTACCATTCCTTTAATATCCCCTCACAACTCTGACAGCCCTTGGGAACTGATTACAGCATTTCCTTGCCTGAGATCTAAGTCAGGAAGCAACTTTAGAGCAAATCAGCCGTGATTAGTTCAAGAAGCAACTTCCAATTTGATTCTCCCTGAAATAATAAAAGCTGGTGGCCTGTTTGATAAACTGGGCAAATCTGCAGTGCTTTGTCCCACAGTCATGTGAATGCTAATCTCAGAAGCTGGCTGGACAATCCTCCTTGTTAAAAAGTCATTGATGGTTAGTGTTGTGCCTGGCAAATGGAAGCCAAAGTGATATGCCATACAAATGAATGAAAATGATCTGCCTTTTTTGGATAAGGAACACAGCACGTTTAGTGAGACTGAGGAATAGGAAGGGTTCTGTCTTTAAAAACCAAAGCTGCCTCCACAACAACTAATCTTGCAGCTAGAGAAGCAAAGGCATTCAGAGAAAAGGATGGCAGCAGTGCAAGCAAAAAGGCAGCTCACGCACTTCTGCTTAGCTGCGAGGATCACAGGCTTCAAGGGCAGAAGTAAATCCCACCCTATAATGGCAGCTGAATTCCTTGCAAACTTTTCAAGATCAAACTTGACAAGTTGCCTCTCTGTTGCACGGTTTACTCCAGTAAAGGCGGGAATTAAGTGCTATCTTTTTGAGAGGGGTTAAGCACAATCTTTATAACATTTTATGCCTTTCTTAAAGCTTTTTTTTAATTTATTTATTACAACCAGCACTAGTATAAAACAGTAAGATTGGCTAAATATGCTCTAATTGCCTAGAAGAATTCAACCTCACTATTTAAAGCCATTGCCCCCCAGTTCTTCCATCAATAAAATCTCTGGACCCTGTTCTCAACTTCTAGAAATCCTGAGATTTGTATTGAATCTAACAGACTACTCCAAGGCATGTTAGCTGAGAAATCAGTCTTTGAAACTTACTGAATTGACTTTTTTTTTTCCTTTAGTATAGGATGTACAATACTTTTTGTCCTTGTGATGTTGTAGCCTCTGTGAGAACCTAATTCATAGTTCAAACTTGAATTTCTGAGACTTTTTTTTATTCTTGAATAATTAGTATAGCTAGGCTACAACTTTAACCTGTCTATGTAGTCATTAAGCTTTTAATTTCCACAGTAAAAATGTGTTTGACATTTTCTATTCTCTGATTTAAAAACTGCAGTAAAATAGAAGAATTTCCCAGGTAATGGCAGTGTATCAATTCAGAGTGTGCATTTTCAGAATGCTCAAAAAATATGTTTATATGATAGAACATAATAGCTATAAGTGATAGCGAAACATATTACATTTTAGGTTGATTAATTTTAAAAATCTTAATGGCACTGAAAGCGGTGCTTATGCGCCCAATATTACCAGTGCAAGTTTTCAAATATCCTGCATATTATGTGTATTTACCTCATCTGCATTTTAAATCATCTGTATACAATACATTGCACTATTATTTTTATATCACTATTAGAAGTTTACTTATTTCAATATCTAGTGTTGAGTTCTGTTGTTCTTTGTAAGAGAAGAAATATAAGAAGTTTTGTTAGTTTTAATTTTATTTTGATTAGGTCATTTTGGTGCAAGAAAGTAAATGCCATATTGCATAAAGAAGTAGAGACATATGAAAATTCATACATGAAAGTCTATGGGATCACTTAAATGCTTAAAAGCAGC